GGGGCAGACTGAGCGTGGCTGGCCGGGGTTGAGTTGCCTGTTTCGGGTTCAGAGAGAGTAGCGCCCCGCTGAAGCCACGGAGCTCGAATGTTTACAGAGAAGTTGCTAAACTTCATCATAATTAATGACCAACCGCTATCAGTTGTAGAAAACAAAGGATTTCACAACTTGCCAAGATATAGTTTACCCTCCAGGAGATATTTATCAGTACAACAGTAGACAATCATAAAAAACATGTGATTTGAAAATTATATATATATATATATAAATAAATAAAAAACGAAACAAAAACAGCTACATTATAAAGAGATGTAAATAACTAAAAACAGGAACATGTCTGTGTTGGTTTATGCCACGAACTTAGCAGGTGTAAAGCCATTTAATATTTTTATTTAATTAATTTATTCATTTGTTTAAAAGAAACAAAATAAACTAAACAAAATTAATAAAAAAGAAAACACTGAATGAAAAGAGTGCAGAAAGAAGAAAAAAATTCTTACATCTGTTCCTCATTTAAAAAATATGAAATAACTTTAAACAATCACTTAAATTGGGGGGAGTGGTGGCGCAGAGGTTAGAGAAGGTGGGCTTGTGATCGGAAGATCGTCGGCTCAAGCCCCGGTACCGACAACATCAAAAAGGTGGGTGGGGTAGGTGAAGCACCCACACCTGCCCCCACCCTCATTCGCCCCACCCTGGACCCATGAGCAAGGCCCTTAACCACCATCTGCTCCCTAAACAGGTCTCTCTTGAAAATGAGTTCTCGTGGCTCGATGAGACGACCTGGATAAATAAAGGGTCAATGAAATTAAAAAAATTTATCACTTTAATATCCACTTTAAAGCTAGGAATAAATTATTACAGCCTCATTAAAAATCAATAATGATCATGATATCGGAACGGGATCGGCCGATATCCAGATTTAAGTATCGGGATCGGATCGGAAGTAAAAAAAAAAAAAAATTTTTTAAAAAGTGGATCGGTGCATCCCTAATATATACATATAGATACACACACACCCATAAATAAATTTAAAAAATATGTGTATGTACACCTTTTTAATGTTAAATGTAAAAATTTGAGGCCTCCTTTCACACGAACAGGTCTGGCCCACGTTTCAAAATGTTCGGGCTCTCCTGTGTTAATCCATTCCAAGTCTTGGTTAGACGAGCGTTTTG